ATATATATATATATATGTGTGTGTGTGTGTGTGTGTGTGTGTGTGTGTGTGTGTATACATGTATACACACACACAGATATATATATGTATATACACACACACACATATACATATATGTGTGTATATGTGTGTGTGTGTGTGTAGGTATATATGGCAGCTGAGAAGATCTTATTTGCAAGTCCAGTAATCTCAAAGCCTGCTCAAGGCCAGAGACACATTGGACATGTCATATCATGTGTATTCCTATTCGCCATGGGTTTTGCATGAGTGAATGTTGAACAGATGTTTGATGCAGATGCAGGGGGCTCATGGCCCCTGCATCATTTCAACATAAGTAATAAAAACCTAAAAGGCATTTTTTCATATTTACTATCAAAATAGATCTAGAGGCATCTTCTTGATACTTCCTCTACTATGATATATCAAATCCAGTATAATCGGACAGAAAAAGTTGCATACATCTAACTAAAACTTGAGTTTTCTGGTTTGGCTGTTATGGAGCCCACATACTGGTCCATTAATGAGAGCTCTCAGACTAGGAACTGAACGTGGGTTGCTCAATCAATGTTATCATTAAATATTTATAGGTTAAGCCCCCAGGACAATTTCAGTATTATAACAAAATCACAGCTCTACAACTGCATATTTAGCATGAAAATGTAGTCCAGTGAGCCTGGAAAATTTTTCATCCTTTTCTCAACCCAAAGTTGATTATTGAATGATTTATTACTATTTTCTTGAGGGAAAATATTTAGGAGTTCATAGAAATGCACTACAGGAAAACACGTCCTGAGAGTAATATTTATAACATTGCTTAATCAATGTTATCTTTAAATATTGGTAGCCTAAGCCCCCAAGACAATTTCAGAACTAGAACGAAATCACAACTCTACAACTTCATATTTAGTATGAAATCCTAGTCAAGCAAGGCTGGAAAATTTTCATCCTTTTCTCAACCCAAAGTTGATTACTGAATGATTTATAACTATTTTTCTCAAGGAAAAATATTAACAAGAAAAGTTCATAAGAATGCACTATGGGAAAACATGACCTGAGAGTAATCAAATCATGAATAATAATCAAGAACATGGCCTTTTGTTTAAACATGTTCAGAACATTAAGGAAGGGTTTGGCAAGATTTGGCAGAAGCATTTACACTGAGTTGCGCAATCATGCTTGACCAAGAACTCAAGAAGAAAGAAATTGTCATTACAGGACTTATATATGCTTATATTCATTAAGCCGACATTTGGGGAAAGATAATAGGTCCGTGAATAAGAAATAAGATCTGTTCAGATAAATCTTACAATAAACGGCAAGTGAAGTGAGACAAGTGAAGTGAGAGACAAATTTCAAAATAAACTTAGAGGGAACACTTTCTTAAATGGCAAGAACGTTGTGAAGAAGTTAAGAGTGAAAAGGGAAAAGATAATGATCATAACAAGATCTGTTGCTCTCATACACGGTTGTTTTTAGATTTATAAGTGTGATTTAATCATTGATTTCTAAGATAAGTCTTACAGTAACAGCAAGCATCCCATCTAAACTGGTTGATGTGCTTAAGCTTGTCTATTTTCAATCGTTTAGGCCAAAATCTACTGTTTAGATGTATCATTCACTTGGCCGTTAAACATTTTGAGTGTTATGATGGAACAAGTACACACCCAGTTGATACTACCAAGTCAAGACACAATGTATTTTGTTATTCTATGATGTGTCATTAGAATGTCATAAGTTGATGCCAGGAACATCAAAGATCAAAGAGAGAGAAAAGTACCACTTCAATGGAGTCAATAATTTTCCTTCGTTTATGATCCTCTGTCTGAAATGATAAAGTGGTATTTCTTTTCTGGCGTGGCACATTTGGGGCATCCTCCACATTGTTAAACCTGAAAGTGAGAAGAAATATCTCAAGAAAAATGAAGAAAAAAAAGAAGGAACTCCAATGGATGATAAAGAAAATTGGATATATGTGCACTGTCCAAACCATCAAGTAAACACTCTTGACCATATAAATTTCATAAACTTTTCTCCCTCTCCTTCTACAGTTTCATTCATTAAGCTTTAAGTCAAAATGAAGTCAAACAGCAACAAAAGTACATCACTAAAACTCTGCTTAGATTTCCACGAGATTGTCTAAAATTCCATGCTTAAATGTTACACTGTATAAAAGTCCAATATTCATGACAGTTTACTTGCTCACGGACCACCTTGACAACAAAGTCCTATATCTATTAGCAATATGTTCAAAAGACCTCAACAATACTCATAAAATATCATCAAGTATTCACATATAAATTGCCTCCCTATTGCTTCATATGCCATTTGTAATACCTGATATAATTTCTGATGAATCATACATAGGCAAGTTACTGACCCTGCATAAGGAGACTAAATTGGATAAAATAGGCTACAAGAATTACTGGCCTCATTACTCTCAATCCCATATCACAGTATTCCCTTTAAAGACATCATCAGCATGCACCTGCTCCTGCCCTTTTTCTCCTTCTATTTGTCTTCTTCTATTCCTTTTCTGTTTACAACTTTGTCTCCTTTTCTTCTCCTGATCCTAACCTTCTTGAATCCAAGTGTAACAGAATCTTGCAACCATGCAGTGCTCAAAAAGTGCCAAGAACATCTGCCTAGGCAGTGTGGTGTCCAGGCTGAGGTTTTCTCGGCAAGGGTGCCGCTGTTAAGCACTGGGCATTTAAGCGGTGCACTAGCACTTATGCTGGCCGATTCACGCAAAAAAAAAAAAATTAAGAAAAACAAAAAACAAAATTAAGAAAAACAAAAACAAAACCAAAACAAGAAACAAAGAATAATTCTGCTGCCTACTTAAGTGTGCTATTTGGGTTTAATATGTAGGTGGGTCAAGACCTAAATCTGAATCCAAGAAATAAAAGAGAAGCTACGGGTTTTTGGGAGAGAAAAAAATTCTAAGTCTCAGCTCTTGTTTTCCCGTTCTGTTAGTCAGCTTCCTCCTTTCGGCCAAGAAGCACCCAGCGCTTTCTGGATTCTAGAACACTGCAGCCATGAACCACAGTGCCAACTGACACATCATTGTAACTCCATATACTATGCTCAAAGACTTCCTCGATTGGTGAATGAAACCATGGAAACCTTAATGGGTTTAGTCTAACTTTGTCTAAATGGATAATATAAAACATCCCCCGAACAAGAGTAAAAACTCTATTTATGTTTGTTAAGAAAGCCTGAAATGCCTTCAGTGATATAACCAATTCTCATAATCTTCAGATTATGCCCATGTCACAAACTAACGATTCACTCCACAGTTCACTCCACCGATATCCAAGACTATACTTATCTCCACTTCTTTTACTTCCTTTTTGTAACCTATGCCTCAGATTTGTTTCGATGTGAAAAAATATTGTATGGATTACCCTTATTATGCTTCAGATTCAATGCAAAATTGTTGAAAATTTCTTAAACTTACTGATTTGAAATTTGAAAATTTTATTGCTTTTATAAATAAATAAATAAAATCTGGTGTTAGCATAATGTTAAGCTCCTGTTAGGGTATAGAACAGAACCATCAATCTTCAGACTTCAGCTGTTCAGAATAAATTAATGTCCTTATTTCTAAAATTTCAAGTGTTCCTAACTTTATTGCTAAAAAATCATAAATTGTGTTTTTTTCAAACAAAAAAAATTCAGAACTGAGTAACAAGAGAATAAAAAAATCAATCAATCAATAAATCTCTTACTCGCGATATTTCTAAACTATATGGATTTTATGCTGATATCCTAGTGACTAATGGGTCATAATGGCTACCAAAATAATTAAAAGAGAATTTATTTATCACCCTGAACATCTATCTGATTCTCAACATTTACTATAATCTTGATCCAATCCAAAATGTAGAAATGAAAATAGTGTCCTGTAAATAAAAAGAGGTCTCAATTTAACGGTTGTAAATTCCACAATTACCCCCACAAAATTTTGAAAAGTAACAACCATAAGATACCTACTTGATTTTCATGTAAGGAGATGCTTGTCTCAACAAAAAAGATGTATCAAGATAATCATCCTCCCCAGGTTTTACAGTTAAGATCTGCAAAATAGAAAGGAAAAAAAATCACAATAGTCATATGCAGTTAGATGGTCTTTCAAAACTTTAGAGATTAGAAAAAAAAATCACGATAGTCATATGCAGTTAGATGGTCTTTCAAAACTTTAGAGATTAAGTGTAATATACACAAACAATAAAGTGAATATGAATAATTACAAGATTCATTCAGACTGGTGCCCCTGTTGGTTTCCAAATTTAGAAAACTATTGATCACCAGACTAATAAGTAGCAATCAATGTTTAAAATACTAGTATGTAATACATGTTTTGCATGTGATGTGTATAAGTAATGATATGAGACTAAAACATTCGAAGACCATCTAACATTGCATTCGCCATAACTTTTTTTTTAGATCAACAAAGAGGACTCAAACAGAGCCCCCAACCACCCACTCGTCATAAATTCATTGACATTTATATTAGTTTTTCTCTCCACGGACTTGCATATTTGTATAAGAAATAGATTGGTGATTTTCTATAAATTGAAGAAGAAATTAGTCATAGATTTGTTTGTTTCCTCCAAAGAAAAGCCATACAATTTTCTCTCTCAACTATCGCCTATGAAATCTTGTTGACTGTGAGGTCTCCTGATTAATATAACCGAGGGACCAACTCCACTATCAAAATTTGTATTTCCTTCATTTTTTTCTTTTGATTCTTTAAGAGTTTCCTTTTATGCATTTGAGCATCCATATATAGCATAATTTTATGCAACTCTTGAGATCCAAGTAGAACGTTTATAGAAGTAAATTAGTCGTGAAATAATTAGTGCATAATTAAGAAGAGAATCTGATTATCAGTAAGAGAATATACTTTCATGCTTTAATTATGGGTTCATTTTCTCACTATAGGTCCAGGTCTTAATTTCAATATTATTAGTAGGTTTAGAAGGGGAGATGTCATAAATTACTCTATTAGCTAGGATTTAATTATTACATTGCAATAGGTTTATCATGGACAAAATTAAGACACATCCAAACTAAACTAAAAACCCGGAAACACAACAAAGAATGCGGATTAATGCTACTCCTTATCAAATGATGGCCGGTCTTCGAGTCATACCATAAAATCATTAATTTCCTTAGCTCTTTGGACCAACACATGAGCCTTTATATTCTCCATTTGACAAACTACCTGAAAATCTCATTCCTCTATTCATATGCAACATCGTTAAATATCCACAGTGTCCAAAAATCAAGTGTTGCTTCACACCATATGGATATCTCTAATTACCGCATCCACATCTTTTTTTAAAAATTACCTTCTCACATCCATTGTTTAGAGCAAATGTAATAGCTTCTCACACCGCTTGGAATTCTGCATTCTCAGAATTATCTCATATCCAAACACTATGATAAGTATATTGCAATAGTTAGTAACATATATTATGATAATTTACATGCTATTTCTAGACTACACCAAGAGGTTAACATATTAGTATTCCTCTCCATGGATTTTTTATACATCAGATGTACATATCAATATATTATTGTATTAGATTAGATGTTAGATGTTTAATTAAATATTAAATTATCTTAAATTATGATATTATTATCTTATATATTAAAACTATATATTTATTGTATAATATATGATATTATTATCTTATATATTAAAATTGTATATTTATTGTATAATATCTAATATCTAAGTGAAATATTTAACATAAGACTAATATGGTTAAATTTTATAATATATATTTAGTTTTTAATATTAGTTCTCATGTTTATTGCAAGATAATAAATAGAATGAATTGAACAAATTTGAAGGCATTATTGTGAATTATTAAATTTTAAAAGGGTAGAAGAGTTAATCAAAAGTTTTAACACCACAATCCTCTTTTATAAATAGTATAGATTGGTTGACTGTTGACATGTCCAACATGTTGACAAAATGTTGTTCTATAGGGATGCCCACAATGAGAAACGTTTTACATGCCATTTGTTGTTTTTGGGAAGTTATAGATGTTTTCTTGAGAGATGTATTGAGATCTTCACAATATAGTGGCAAGATTTTGGCATCAAAACCTTGGTCAAAATGGAGTCGCATCTGGTTTGATTTTAACATTTGTTTTAAATGTCAAGTTTCTGTTTAGGGTCTCAACTGAGCCCTAAACGCATACCTAAACCTGCTTCATATAAATCTCGAAATAGAAATTAGAGCCAAATTAAGCCCAATGCTTTCGCTCACCTCTCTTGAGTAATAAGTCTCATCAATTTTATCCCAACTATCAGTCAGCCCTACACCCTCGATCATAGTTACACAGTACAATGTACATAGCGGGTATGGTACAAATTTCAGTATAGAATTCGCCGCTTAGAAAATTTGGATTCAACAAGGGGTAGCTTGTTTCGGTATGCAAGTTCGGTTAGTGATACATTGTAAATTTTTTTGATACTCTTAAAGTTGTCCAAATTATATAATAGAAAACTAGAAACTAGAAAGCTAATCATGTATTTTAATATTTTTTTCATACAAAATACTTAAATGCTTCTTATTTATGGAGTTTGTTCTTTGTTTTGTTTTTCACATAGTTCGTGTTGGGATCATGGTGTCATTTTACATTTTATTAACATAAATATTTAGTTATAATAAAGTCATTGGCTCATATATTCTATTGTGCGCCTCCGTTCACTTGATTGCACATATTGCATTGGAACTTACACATGTGCACTTAAAGAGATTTTGCGTCTCACATAGTTGTAAGTCATGCGCTGATTATGTTACTTAGTGGGTCCAGAGAATCATCCAACTATGCCCTGGACTGCATCTTACTACAGTCTACAGGTAAATCCTGCCTCTCATCTTAGTTGTACTCCCCCCGCTTTTTTGTCTCTTAAACATGTCTTATTAACATGATTCAACATTTTATATGTTTATATTTAATTTAAGGCCGTGCCGCAGTCATAATAATGCATATACATTATCCAATATGACACTCCAATGTTTACTAAATGTCCCTGATTGCCATCCAATATGGAATTTTTCTATTCAAGATGGCCCCAATATATGACATTTAGAACACTGGTAATGGTTGGTTTGTGCTCATGATATCCTTTGCTACTGTTGTTATCTGGATGCATAATGTTCTATTGATTTAGTTTCGCATTTCAACTCAGTGCATTGGAGAAACTTTCTTCTAAATGCAACATCGCCAGCTTCCTGGTGGGTAGATAAGCAGTCCCACATTGCGCCAGCAATGTCCAACATACCAAGTTTGAACCATAAACAAATGTATCCGGACCTATAAAACTATAAGATATCAACTCAAGGCTTTGTTATTGCTACTTAGCCGGTAATTCAGAGTTGGTAATGAATGATGAACAAAACATTGAATACTTTACTTCCAACCTTAAGCTATTATATGTTATTTCTAGCTTAGATAGTACTGGTAAGCAAACAAGGATAAGATTTACTAAGATTTCTTGATAGACATTTTTTGTCAAACAACCGTCGGATTCAGCCTTGCTTTCGGCAACAGACTTCAAAAAGACTTGGGAACAAATCTCCTGATTGAAGGTTTACATGTTTTACATTGGAACCGATTTACACTGGGCTAAAAGCAAGTCAACCTTCTGAGTGAGGCCAGGAAGACTCAAGGATATACTAATATATTGGGTTTAGTATAGCCAGGATTGCTCCAAAAGCTAAGTTACATGGCTACTTCTAATCTGAAGCCGTACATAACACATACCCATTCCCCTACTCAAACTCCTTGAACGTTCTTTTATGCATACATTTATTCAGGCATGTACTCAACTATACAGTACATGTTTTAAATTAAAACACTTGTCATACATTTTATGGACATGTATCCTACACATCTACTTCTTGAAACTCGTTGGGCATAGATCAGATTTTGAATTATGATTTTGAAGGGTCGTTTGGATGTCTAGTTCAAAAAATAATGATTTTCCAATTTATAATCCACACAATAAAAGAAACATAAAAATGTTACATGAATTTTTATCCTCATCCTTGTTCTCATATAAATTATAAATTCCAATATATAATATATGTGTATGTAAATATTTATATAGTCGTGTCCCCGTACCCTACCATTTATAAATTTTCCGTGTCGTGCATCCGTACCTGTACCCATCCAACATAATGCAAAAACAAAACAGCTTAATGTCGCTTCTACTTTAAACTGGGCAAATTAATATGATAAGATTACACACTAAATTGGAAGATGAAAACACTTTGACAAAGACTTTAAATTAACAGATCAAAGAACAAGAGCATGGAATGCAACATAAATGGAAGAAAATGCTATACATATATACTTCTCATGCACAGACAATCCCAGGACGGCTAAGGAACAATTCTGTGATCACATGGGAACTTATACGTGGTTTCTGGTTCGTGGGCAAGCCAATGCTTTTGATGGTGAACAGAAATAACATAACTCCTAACTTGTATATAAAATTTTAGGAATTAGTTTATCCTTTTTTTATAAGATGTACGTGATAAGAGTTACTAGATTTAATAATCTATCCTCTGAGAAAATGTAAGCAAATAATAATTTCATAATCATCTCTACAGTAAGAAACAATTGCAAGAACGACACACTAAGTAACATAATCGGATACAATTTCTAGCTTGGTCCTAAATACTTAACTAAGAAAAAGGAAAGCATACCAGCGTCATACGCTTCTTGCCTTCCAGATAATCCCTCAAGTACCTAGTCAACTGCCAAAAAGAAAAGGAGGTTAAGTATGTTTTGATGAATGTACTTAGGAGTAATTTTCAGAAGAAAGAAATTAATAATTAATAACTGGTAAGAATCCGAGAAAGGAAATTAGAATCTCAGAGTTAATCAAATAAATGAGACCTTACCAATGAGTTTTTGAAGTGCTTCTCAAATGACTTCCTTGGGTTTTTCTGGTGCTCCAGCAAAGACTGAAAAGAACCGTGAAGAAGTCAAGTTTAACTTTAGAATTCCAACACATTTTACAAGAAATGTCTTTTGTGTGTGTGTTGCATGGCCGGTGGCGGCGGGGGGATAATGGCCTGTGCACAGGAGGCACTTGGTTAGTACATTCAATCCAGACTTGCCCAGGCGGCCACCTGGTCCAAGTGTCTTGAAGGTCAGACTGTTTAAGTTACTAAACAGTTAACAAGTTAAGAAATGTTTTAAATTCTATACTCCAATATAAATTTCCAGACAGAAAAGCCAGTAAAAACACATACTCTTAAGCACAGGCCAAAAACCATGGATGTATTATTGATGAAGTTGCTCTCCAACAGTCGTGCACCCTGAAAATGGAAGCAACATATAAACACACATTGATAACCACATTAGCCTGCTTGGACTGCATAAGCATGCATACCATTGAACTCCATTGTGGTTAATCAAACATGCATTGTCGAAGTGGATGAGGTTTTCTGGTTGTTTAAGTCTTGAGTGATTATGTGAACCATGATTTTGAACATCTAAACGTCATCACATCCACGTTAACATCCCACAAGCTGTTGTTATCATAATCTCTCCTACCTCATTCTAACTGTGCATGCTCACACTATTAGCTATAAGTTTATACAGTGTTTATGTTCCTCCATGCAAAAAGGAGTGTGAGTTCTTATCACAGCATACTTAGCTCCCAAGTTCAATGTCTTCTTCCTCGTGCAATGGCCTTATCATCAATTTACAAAATAAGGATGCACTTAGACCCCATATGCTGTGCCCAAAGCAATATTACTGAAAAGCAAAGATGATACATATTTGCAAGCAATAAGTATTACGTTAAGGTAATGAATGAAGGAGACACAATAACCTGATTTCCTGTTTTTCTTTCTCTCTCAGCTCCAGCAAGATCGGCTATTGTGAGCACAGTGTCATGTGCACGTAAATCGTTTTTATCACATAGGTTTTCCAGTGTACAGCGAATGTTTATTATGCATTGAGATCGACTGAAAGAAACAAGGGAAATAATTGAGTGCAATATAAAAATATAAATAGAGAAACAAAGCTTATTCTGAATTGTGTATTAATTCCACATTATTCTTTTATCGCTTTATTTGAAATATGAAACACAAGGACAAGAATCCATCAAGCAAGAACAAGATGGAGAGGAACAAGACTACAAGAGGTAGAAAGGCAGCAAGTTTGATACCGAAAAAGCTAAGCTTCAACCTCAATATAGCAGCGTAAGGCTTTAGTTTCTACATACCTTGATTGGTTATTTGCACTTGTTGCAGCTGTAGCACGTTTCAGCAGGCAACGCACAACTAGACTCTCTGCCTCAGTTGCATCTGAAATCCTGATCTGGAACAAGAAAACGTCACTTTTTTAGTATAAGAAAACATCCCTTTTCATGCCATGCTTATGAAAATAATACAAAATGGTGAAATGTAAATGACACTGAAAGGTTACGTTTGTAGACTACCTCTTGAAGACCTTTTATTGCTGACTGCTGAAACGATAAATCACCTCCATCCGGAGACAAGTCAAAAATCCTCTCCCCTTTCCCTCGTTCAGAGTATATTTCAAACATAGATAAGTAATATGACCTGTAATAGTACCCACAATAGATGATTGTTGGTTAAAAATCACATGATGTGCAAGATCATGAGATTTCCTGAATGTGCAGTGACATCTTGAGCAAACTGGTTAGCAAATCTCTCATAATACAAAAATATACATTATCCTTGATGATCTTTGGATTGTTTTATGGGGATAAATATTTATGTGTTTGCATGCCAAAAAAATGTTCTATTCTAGAGTCATTTTTTCAAATCAAGCAAATGAAAATTAGTGTCTTCATCAAATCACAAATATGCTCTTCAAAGTATTAGTAAATATGTTTCAGGAGTTTGGTAAGATGATAGAAGCAAATATACTTACATAAACTAATACATGCTTTATAACGTAGGAGGAAGTAAAGAAAATTTTAAAAATATGTCTGCTGAAACACAATAAAAGAACTAAGCATGGTGTACACTGGTTATTGAGATTTCAGACCAGTTGGGATATGATTTTCTGAGTCTACGTTCAGTTTTAAAACAAAGTGACAGACTAGACCACACATAAGTAAGATCAGAAAGACTGGAAAACAAAATACTAAGTATAAGGCTGTAACCAAAAAAAGTACCTTGATATGGGATGATTTGCACTTGCTGCTGCATGATTGAAAATGCGCCGTAAGGCAAGCGGAACCATACCTGGTTCCCTTGGAGATCCAAACATCGTATGTGTCTTTCCTGACCCTGTGGGGCCCATGGCTGCCAAAAGACCGCTTTTTCCTCCCATGAAATCAATCAATAGAGGGTCCATCACTTTCTCATAAATTTCTTCCTAAAATAAAGTCTCCAACATAAAATTTGTGAAGGCGGGCTATGGGACTCAGCTATACACATAATGACATTATAATTTACATGAGATCAATATTGTTTTCTCATTCACAATTATAAGAATTTAAGTTCGTATACCATTTTTATGTGTCGATTATTATTGTAGATTATAAAAGTGGATGTGAAGTGTAGGATATTTGTGCAAGAAGTGTTTGACGAGCTTTTCAATTAAAACATGTAATATATCATTGAGTACAAATAGGAATAAATGTATCCAAATGTATAAGGAGTGTCCAAGGAAGGTTTGGTATGGGTACGGTTACGGGTATGGTATGTGTCCTGTACGGGTACGCTTCAGATATAAGTCCCCATGTAAGGTAGCAGTCAACACATGTAATTTGTCTAAATAATGCCTCGATCAAATACAACTGGATTAACTCCCTATACCCAATAGAATGAAATCTAACCAATACCTAATCCAATCAGACACTTTCAAATCAGGAGGTTGCATGGAAATCAAGTTTATTCAGATTGAATGGAATAATAATATTTGAAAATTAATTCATCAGCCTTAGTTTTTTTTTCAAGTAAAATAAGGTGTAACAACAGACTAGCATATAAAATTAGTCCACAAGGATTTATTAAGCAATAAGCTCTTATTAGCAGTATACACTTGTGTGATGTTCTGTAGCATGTAATCTGAACTTTTTAGTGTAGCATCTTTCTTTTTCACTTCAACTGTATTTGGTGCATCTTTTAGACATTACAACTGCAGCCAGTAATATCTGTTTAGTCTATCTTTATATGTGTGTTGAGATGTACCTTTACCTTTATGTTAACTTTTTCCGCCACATTCTTACTACATTTTTTTTTAATATTTGGTATCCTTGTTATATCATGAAAATTCCCAAAATGCCAGCTACCATGTTGCATATACGTGTAGTTCTACAAATTGGCATTAGGCTCAAATGCCTTGTCTCAATAACAAGCAAGCTACTTTCAGTACTTTGACACTAGAAAAGAAGCAATCTTTTAAAGATCACATCTCATTACTCTGACTTATAACTGAAGATCATCACTCAACCAAATTTCAAGCTCCCACATTCAGTAATAAACCAGTAAATTAGGGAAATCAGATGGCTAGAAAACTAAATAATCGATCTTCACCTGAGCTGATTCCGGCGGAAAAACAAAAGAGAACCCGTCATAAACCTCGCTCTTGCTGCGCTTACTATCGAACACCGACGGTGGGGCCGAGAGTGTGACCGAGCTTGAATCATTTACGACCAAGCATCCCTTATTGCTCCTGCACCTCCTTTGCTTTGGAGACGGAGGCTGAGCCTTCCCCCTCGGTTTCGACTTCAGATTCTTAGCGGGTTTGGGTCGGATCTCGAGGGGGCGGATCCGAAGAAAGACCTTAAGGTTATCGGGCCCATCAGCGAGTTTCTTTGGGGGCTTTGGCTGTGGATCGGGCTCGGGCTCGGCCTCAAGGAGTTCCTCGAGGGGGAAGGGAGTGATTCCGGCGGCGGCGGCGGCGGATGGAGGAGGATGACGTGGAGAAATCTGGAGCGTTGGCTGCGGGGGTCTGCTTTGCTCTGCGGGGTGGGTTTCGGCGGACGGTGGAGAGAGGGCGAGGGGATTGATGATGATCCATGGGGAAATTTTTTCCCCCTCTCTTGCTGATGTTTTGTGTTTTTAACTTTCAAATTGGTTTTTTAGGGTTTTCTGGCTGCTTCAAAGTCCGAAGGGAGGATTGGGCGGGAATGGGAGTGGTACCGATGTAAATTTGGGCAGAAGAGGGCATTATTTATAGGATAAATTTTTCGAAACAGATTCATTCTAGTATTTGGTGATTTGTGCGTTTGTGGCGTTTCGGTTTTGTTAAAAAAAAATGTGTTGGAGTATCGTTCTGTTTTTCTACCCAAAACCACAACAAACTCAAACTTTCAACGTCTTTCTCAAAACAACAAAAAAGTGTTTAAAGCCCGTTGTTTTCATTTCCCCCAAAACATCGACCCAAGCTCTCAGATTTGATCTCAAACGCGATAGGGTCCGATCGCTGCCGTGTCACCCAAATCTTAGTTGTCGTCGTCGCCGTCGCCGTCGCCCAAGCTTCAGATCCGAGTGAAGTTGGTGTCGTCTCTAGTTCCCTCAAGCGGAGTCGTCGTCGCCTCCAGATCCCCCAATCGTCATTGCTGCCTTCCAAAGACTGTAGTTCCCTCAAGCGGAGTCGTCGCTGCCTCCAAATCCCCCAATCCCCATCGTAGTCGCCGCCTTTCAAAGCCTGTCGCCATCGCCGTCGCCCAAGCTTCAGATCTAATCCCTTCCGTCGTCGCCGTCGTCGTCGCCTCCAGATCCCGTCGTCGTCTCCCGTAGCCTCCGTTCTCAATGCACTATAACCATTCTCAACTCTTGATCTGATTAATTTTTCTTTTTTCTGAATTTATAAATTGTTTTGGTAATTTATGAATTGTACGGTGTTTTCAAAACACTTTGGGAGAAAAAACAAAATACCAATGTGTTTTTCTAGAAAAACACAATAACAAAAACACCTTGGAAGCCAAAACGAAGCCAAAACAAAGGCAAAAGTTATGTTTCTAGAAAAATGAACCAGGTTTCAAAATAAAGAGATTGAACTACGTCGATTTTTGTAATATATGGCTAGGGCTGTTTGGTTGGGCAATTTTTTAGGAAATAAGCATTTTTGGAACAAAAAGTAGATTTTGGGTCATTATAGAATTTCAAAAGTTATGTTTGTTTCAAAAAAATTTTAAAAAAAAGTTTCCAACAAATCCTCTTTTTTGCTTGGAAATGGGCTAAAAAATCTAACATACTAGTCCGGCTCAGCTTTTCCTCTCTCTCCTTTTCTCTTCACGTGACAAACTCAGAACCCCAACCGCACTACAATCACCGCCTCACCGCCTCGTTCCCTCCTCTTCTCCATTTCCCTCCTCCATTTCATGCCACTACATCAAAAAATCTGAGTCTATATATGCTCGAATTAGCCATAAACAGTTCTAAAATGGTTGATTAAAGTCTTGATTACCTCATTGATGAACCCTAGCTATTGATTTCTAGATGAATTTTCTGATTTTTGGGGTTTATAAGAAGTGGACATTCTAATTTTGGGGGTTTTCACGATGCATGTCACCATCATTCTTTGAGGTGATCTTCTCTGATTTGGGTGCAGTCGGCACTTCCTTTATGTTCTCTTCTTTAGATCTGACAGGTTGATTTCTTGGTTAAGGGTTCATACTACAAAATTTCACCTCTGGACTTTCAGATCTACTCTATAACAAAGTAAAGGCATAACATTTCTCCACTTTGTAATTCTTTTTGTAGGAAGACTTTTTTTGTGATTCTTTTTGTTGGAAGACTATTTTGTTTTTTTTCTTGGGTGTGCGCCTTTTTCTTTTTCTTTTTCATGCCTGTATCTATGTATATTTGCATTTCTGTAAATTTGGAGGTTAAAATTAAAGACATGTTCAATAGTTTGCCTGGCTCAAGCTTTGGTATACATGAGGTTTTATAAAACTTTGGTATACATGAGGTTTTATAAAAACTTTTAAAAAGTTTCCAAACATGAGGATCTTATGACAAACAGAGTGTAATGGCCTCTGAAAGCACCAGAGTATCTACTTTGATTGTTATATATTGATGAATGTATATGTTCCCATGTGTTTTTGTTTATTAAAACTATAAACTCAGCATATATTTTTTATAAATTTCTTCAAATTTTCTTGTGAGAAAAATTGGAACCACGAAATTCAAATTTTTTTATGTTTTTAATTTACTTTTTTACATTTGTATCTTTACTTGATGATGATATTTGTAGATACATACACAGCTAGCTCAAAATCTTGGTACACTATGATATTCATATGAATGTGCAATATGATATTGTGGTTGATAAAAAAAAGATTGATTTACTTGTATAATTTGACTAAATTTTGTATTAGCTAAGTTTTAGAAGTTGCTAAATTTAAACATTTGCATTTGTTTAATAATATATTTTTCGATCATTGTAGATGGATGATATTGATGAGGAAACATTAATGAGGATATCGAGTAATGCTACTTTTGCCGCCATTGTGACTGTATTTACATGTTTAATGAGAAGACGTTGTAGTAGGAAATCTTTCACTTATTAAGAGGGGGGGGGATAAAAGATAGAGTCTACAAATGCACACATAGATCGTGTGTTTTGTGGCTATAGCCAAAGCTGTAGAGATTATGTTTGTTAGTCATTTTAGTGCTAAAAAAGTAATCTCCAATCAAGGGCGGACAAGTGTCCAACATTATACGTAATGGAACCATCACTTCAAAATAACCCAAGACCCAACTTGGACGACTCGACACGTCGACATCTCGTGAGGACGACTCAAATGATGTTACATGCCGACCCCTGGCTAGGTCGACTCCCTGGTTGACCTACCTGACCGTCTGTTCGGTCGACATCTTGTGAATGCGACTCAAAAGGCGACACTTCTCGATCATCGGACAAGTAGAAAGGTGACAAATGCCTCGAGCCTCGAGCCCCTCCCGTGCACTGGCGACCAATCACCTCACAATAAATGCTATTAAATGCATTATGTACGCCATCATTCCTTTGTCCCTTTATGACACATCGGACCACGTTGGTACCGCACACCCCCAATCACTTCGCATTAAATACCGAAATGACGTCTCCTCCACTCGTCGACCAACACTTGTAAAGCAGAGGCTAACGTGGCCGACATCCCATACTCAGCCGAAGTTACTATTTTACCATTCTACCACCACTATAAATAGGGGTACTGTTTTTAATAATAATGTAAGATCTTTTTCTCTGCTCACTGTGCTTAAGAACTAATACAGTTCATTTTACTTCTCCACTCAAGCAAACCACTGACTTGATCGTTGGAGGAACAACCAGGGAACTCAACCCCGCCCTTTTACGATTTGCTACTTGTGCAGAGAAGAACAACCTACTCTAGAACCGAACACTCGGAGGGTTATAGGACCTCCGTCAACTTAATCACTTCTTTCATTTGACTGATTGATATCAGCCATCAACAACGTTAGAATGAGGCTGCTGGCATCTGAAATCTTGTTAGAATAATGAGAGTTACAGGCCTACTACAAGATTTGTGTGATGTTAAAGTAGAAGAACAATTGATTATGTTCATTAATATATTAGGACATAAAACAAAAAATAGAATAGTAAGGTCACATTTCATAAAATCGGGGAAATAATTTTTAGATATTTTAATAAATGCTTAGAAGCAGTTGGTCATATAAGAGGGCAGTTCATGAAGCAAGCATCAAATGAAGTGGTGTCAGAGATTGTAAACAATCCTTTGTACTATCCTTATTTCAAGGTAAAGAACTCATTCACACAACAAGCATTGAATAAAAGATCTTTGTTATTGTATGAAATAACATTAATTTATTACATGATATAGGATTGCATTGTCATGATAGATGAAACCCACATCGATATTATACTTTCTGCTTGAGTTGTTACCAATTTTAGAGGACGTAAAGGTGTAACCCAAAATGTTCTAGCCGCATGCACTCCAAATAAGTTATTTACGTACGTTCTAGCTAGATGGGAGAGGTCCACAAATGACTATAAAGTACTACAAGATGCACTTTCAAGGCCTCAACCTCATGAACTGAGAGTCTACGATTTACTAAAATGAATGTTCAATTATAATTTATAAAAATATATCTATTTACTATATTGTGTTGTTTATAATTGAAGGTAAATATTATTTGTACGATGCGGGCTACTCTACCACGTCTGGCTTCATCTCCCCTTAGCGTGGTGTACAATACATTAGCATTTAAATGAGAAGAAGGGTAGGCCAATAAACAACAAAAGAGAGCTGTTCAATTTAAGTCATTCGTCGCTAAGGTCTAAAATTAAATCAACCTTTGGAATATTGAAGAATCGTTTTAAAATTCTCACTGTAAAGTCACATTATCCTTTTCCGACCCAAGTTGATATAGTTTTGGTTTGTATTATACTTCATAACTATATTGCCATAGTTGATCCGGGTAATGACTTATTGAATGAAAACATTGTACTATTGAAGATGGTGATGGAGAAATAGCTAATGAGGGTGAAGATGACAATGTTGCCGACTTTATTCAAACTATGACGCAAAGAGAGGCAAGATATTCAAGGAATGGATGAAAGAGAAGATAGACCAAATTGTAAGTACTATGTGGGTATATTATTGTAATAAGTATCATGGTGGGGACACTTGATAATCACATTTTTACTATATTTTATGCCCTCATTATCTATGTAATTTAAATAAATTTATCATTAATAAATATATTTTATCTTAATTGCAGGTTAATGAATAAAAGCCTAAGAAAAACTCAATATCTCATTTCTCAAAAAGCCCAAGAATCCAAGCCCAAGAGAAGATCGGCCAAGGCTATCGATGCATGTATCGATAGCGGTATCGATATTTAGTTATTGTTGCGAAATTAAGGGCTAAAATGGATTAACTTGGGGATCAAGTTTAATCCAAGGGCTCTCATTCATTACTGTAGGCTATAAATAAGGGTAGAGAGTAAGAGGTTGAGGGTGTGAAATTTTTTATAAAAGGGTTACTCTTAATTGAGAATACCTTCCAATTTTGTAACTTTTTATTGCAATTAATAAAAAGTTTTTTTCACCTCTTCATATTTTTCTTTTC